GGGGTGAGCGCTGGGGCGGTGGCTGGAACGGTGTCCTTGGAAAAGCTCTATGATGGTACTCATTGTCGAGCGGTATGCACGGTCTTGCCTGGCACTGAGACTGGCCTGGAAATGGCCTGCTAGTGCTCGCTGAATGGGCTTGTATGAACCAACCCTGACTTGTACACAGTGACAGCTGTCGTATTCTTTGATCTCAATTGGTCAGGGCACAGACTATGCTGCCTAGGTAGTATAATGTCCACGTGTGTACATGTGTACGTGTGTACGTGTGTACATGTGTACGTGTGTACGTGTGTGTGTTCTCATTGTTCATCTTCTTCAGCCAAGTACATGTATTTGTCGGGAGGTCGCTGTCAAGACGCTTGCAGTGGCTATACACTGTACGAAGAGATGTCGTCCCAGGGTGTTCGACTGGCCAACGGCACGGCTCGATCTGGTCGTGTTGAAGTCTACAACTCTCGCACCGGGAAATGGGGTACAGTTTGCGATGACCTTTGGACACTTCATGAAGCTACTGTTGTTTGTCGTCAACTGGGCCTTGGTTCACCCATTGCTATAATCAACCAAGGCAACAGATCACGCACAAACACTACAACATACTACAACCAGATCACAAACCCCTCCATTCCTATCATGCTGGATGACCTTCGCTGTAAGGGCTCAGAACCAACCTTGTTCGACTGCATTCATCGTGGAGCGAACAGACATAACTGCAATCATAGAGAGGACGCTGGTGTAATCTGCTCACCACCGCCAGTGTCTGCGCTTATCTGTCTGCCTACGTGTGACACTTCGCAGGGATACCGTGTGAAAGATGCGGTAGCACGTACATGTGAAAAGTGTGCAGCGACATGTAAACGCTGCAGCACGGGAAGTGCCACCGTATGCGAAGAATGCATGGAGGGAAGATTCCTGAGTGCGTCTGAAAGTGGCAAGTGTGAAATCAAATGTGAAGATGGTTTCCATGGTGACACAACTGACGGTACATGCCAGCCATGTAATGAGAAATGTGATGGTTGTTTCAATGGAGCCCGTAATGATATCTGTATTCGCTGTAATACCACGCTGGACTTGGTCCAGGATGGCACACAATGTGTGCCAGCATGTCCAGCCGGAAAACGACCAGTGCGTGAAACCTTCCAGAAGAACACAACAAACATTCGCCTTCAAGGCACTCGGCAAGTTCTACAACTCTACATTAACTCTCAATGGATTCCGTACTGTTCTACGGGAAATAGGAATCGCCTTGCAGCTGACGTTATGTGCAGGCAGCTCGGCATGGGTTTACCAAAACGATCCTCCTTCTATCGTCGTCGTCACTCGCCATCCCTGCTGCATGTCAGCTTCCTGCATTGTCTGGGTACCGAGGCTAACATATTTGAATGTCAGATGCAGACCAGCACCTCTATCCGCGGTGTCTGCTATCAGGCCACTCTACAGTGCAATGCATCTCTTGAGGCATACGATGAGGAAGTGTGCACAACTGTTAACGATAAACCATGCTCGAATGGATTATGCGAAGCAGCAGCTGGATGCTTCAACACTACTAAGATCGCCGGCTATAAATCAGCGTGCTGGGAGTGCCCGAAAAAGTATGTGGGAGATGGACAAGACTGCAAAGGTAAGACTTGGTTCACTTTGTGTGGTATTATACTTTAGCATCCAGATGATATCTACGCTAGTTTCGCCATCATCATTGCCTGAGGCCTATTGCATCTTGAGGATTATGAGATTAGCTTCGGAAATTCTATTTTTCACTGCTATCAGGTTCGGCCTCATTATCCTCTGTCTTGCGCTGATGAGTCCACAAAGGACGAAACCGTTCTGTCCGCAGATTGAGGATTATGAGATTATAATTGTTTTGTTCATCCTACGGAGCACATCTAACAATGTATAGCTTACTGCTTCAATGTTCGACCTGACTAGATGCTAATCACCGTTGTTTGACCTGACCTACATGATAAGAACCATGCGTGCCACTGAACGAGCATTATACACGTGTTGTTCTCATGATATCAAAGGGAACCAAAAGTAGTTGCTGATGTTCACACTGCACACACTTCAATGAAGCCGTGCCATGGTTTAGAACACCAGAACATGATCAAAACTAGATTGAGCCAGGCTGATGTAGATATGCTGCCATAAAAGGCAATACAGGCCGTAAAAGGCAATACAGGTTGATGTTTTGGTGGGAAGAGCTATACCGATAAACGATGATACTGAGCTGTAGAACAAACATTGGATTGAGAAGAATCAGAAAATGTATATGGGCCTCAACCAGCGAAAACAGCCCTTAGGGTCAAATATTTCAAAATTCCTTTTTGGTTAGAAATTTGTTGAAACACATCTACTGAAGGACCTCAGCCAAGAAAAAGTTCAATATTCCGATTCAAAACGGGTGTATACACCAATATACAAGGTGTACTCCAAATTGGTGCAATGTATGTATACATTGTATGTTTACAATAAATATTCAGCATTCGAAGGTGGGTAGGCAGCTTGAATACCTTTGAAATAGTGCAGTAAGCAGCTAGATTGACAAAGAATAGCTGAAGAGTTCGGAGACATGATCGACTTATTTGCAGCTGCATCCTGCGTGGAGTCGTTCCGCAATGTCTTCCATTTCCTCCGCAGCTGACGACACTACGTCGATGCCGTCACTAGCCCCAGACGCAGAATTTATTTCAGGTGCTGACTCCTCATCTCCCGACTCTGACGAGTCATCGACCGCCTTGAGCCGCAACGCAGCAGGAGATGACGGCTGCGATTCCGCCTCGCTGTCGACATCGATGTCGGAACCAAAGAACGTCTCATCCTCACTCTGAACTTCAGCGGTTACTTCAGCATCCACTCCCTACCAGGCTCTAGCTAGCTGTACACAATGACTGCCGAGTGTGCTCTGCGAACAGCTCTGGCGTCCGCAGCCATCGCAACAAGATCAAGGAACACTCGAGTCGCCACTGGACGCCACTTCGACTAACTAACTTCAAATATATTTTAAAAAGCAAGGAGTTCAAGAAGAACTCGTCGCGCTGTTTGCAGCGCGATCAAAAAATCGTTGAACGTCACAAATCGACCTTTTTCTTGAAAAAATTACGAAACCTCTAAGGGTCGTTTTCGCTGATTGCGGCTCATATTATACTGACTGGTTTTAAAGTAGTTAGATTCGGGTTAGGTGTAGAACGTCAGTACCGTTGACCAGTGTTATGTAATGTTATTGCATGAGCTGATTGTAAACAGGTGGTACTAGTGGACATTAGCCCCATCCCTCACACAAACAAGTCAACAAAGAGGCATCTTTGGATTGAGGAGTGCTGGTTTCGAAACAAATGGTTTGAAGCTCAAAGTAGAGCTGCTGTTAGCTCAGAGCAGAGCTGCTGTTAGCTCAGAGCAGAGCTGCTGTTAGCTCAGAGCAGAGCTGCTGTTAGCTCAAAGTAGAGCTGCTGTTAGCTCAAAGTAGAGCTGCGGTTAGCTCAAAGTAGAGCTGCTGTTAGCTCAAAGTAGAGCTACTGTTAGCTCAAAGTAGAGCTGCTGTTAGCGCAAGGTAGAGCTGCTGTTAGCTCAAAGTAGAGCTGCTGTTAGCTCAAAGTAGAGCTGCGGTTAGCTCAAAGTAGAGCGGCTGTTAGCTCAAAGTAGAGCTGCTGTTAGCTCAAAGTAGAGCTGCGGTTAGCTCAAAGTAGAGCTGCTGTTAGCTCAAAGTAGAGCTGCCGTTAGCTCAAAGTAGAGCTGCTGTTAGCTCAAAGTAGAGCTGCTGTTAGCTCAAAGTAGAGCTGCGGTTAGCTCAAAGTAGAGCTGCTGTTAGCTCAAAGTAGAGCTGCTGTTAGCTCAACGTAGAGCTGCAATGCTAAATGGATGTAATATAGCGCAAGGCAGAGCCGCAGCAAATAACTAGATAACACCAGTTGTGAGAGTGGACCCGATTAGTGGATATGATTATTATAATGATGGTGTGAATAAGTTGGATAGGGAGGGATGGCGGGAAAAGAAACACTGCTGAAGCACGATCCGTTGTCTGGAAGAGCACAACGGGGCAAGCAAGATTTGTTTTTCTTTTCCGTAAAATGGGCTGGTGCCATTTGTGATTACGCAGCAAAACAAAGCGCATGACGTCAGTCTTGAATGCAGTACAAAGCAATGCAGTGCAGTGTGTGCGCTAGTTCGGATTATTGCTAACAAGTACTAGCACAGCTAGTACACCATTAGAGGGTAACTTGTAGTTCCTTGGTCCTCATTTCTTCTTATAAGATTAAGTAGTGTGTGCAGTATGAGTAACGTTATAGTTTGATTTGTGTGAAAAGCACGGCTGCTTGTGTTTGATACTTGGACTCGTCCATGTCTCGTGATGGTCTTTGATGCATGGAACCATTCATACCTTGCGATGGTCCTTTTTTCCTACCAGCAGTACATGCTTCTAGCTATCAGCGTACATTTGAGGCGAGTTGTGGGAGTTGTGACCTTGCCATGTCACTCAGCTCTCTGATGGGTACGGTGTGGGTGAAACTCCAAGCTTCAGCTAGACAGCATTTAGCACTTGTTTGTGTGTGTGTGTGTTTGTGTGTGTGTGTGTGTGTGTGTGTGTGTGTAACAATTTGTGTTTTTATATTTCTTGTTATTTTCGACTTGCAGTTTATTCTCTCCAGCCACACAAACTGGTGTTGACACCACGCAACCGATCAGCTGTGGTCAACCAGACAGCAGCGGTTGTACTGTCCTGCGGTGCAAATACAAGTAGTATAATCAACTGGTGAGTTTAGTTTGCTGGCCACTTGTATGGAGTGTGTGTGTGTGTGCTACTGCATGCCACTGACACTACTACTGCAGCCTCTTGCATGGGTAGATAACCAACCATATAGAACTCTAGACATCAGGAGAGGATAATAAAAGTGTATTAGCCCTTTAAGAGCCGCCCCATACTTGAATGCGTCGTAAACGACGCATTCAAATGCAAAACTTCAAAAGATCGTAACTCAGTCCAATCTCGCTCAAATCCAGTGATCGAAATATCCAGGGCGAAGAGAAAACTCTCACCTGTCGGGAGAAACAATCCGCGAAGCGCTGCGAGCAACGGTTCCTGAGATAAATCACTCGTAAGTTGAGCCGCGATCGCGGCAATTTCAAAAGCGCGCAGTGCGACTTTAGTATTGAGAATTTTGAGACTTTTCGTCACGCTGGCTTACTCGAATTTGCACGGGTTTCACTGTTGATATTGTCAAGAGTACACAGCGAAAAAATTGGAACTCCACGATCGAGTAAAATGAAATATCTGGAGCGGGACGCAATTGGACGCATTTGGGGCATTTTTCGTACTGTCGCTGCGATCTAGCGCTGAATAGACGGTGTGCTGGCTATCATGGTCGACCTCATTCTCTTCCTCTCGCGGAGACCTTTCCAGGAAGCCCTAGATTGTGAGAATTGAGTGAGTAGAACTGAAGCTATGATCCAAGGAACACGAAAAAATGCAGAAATTTCAAATTTTCCTGTGGCTCTTAAAGGGTTAGGATGGGGTATCCGGCAAGTTCATAATTCAATTCTGCTATCCCATCTTGTAGGTTACGCGTAACCAGTACCGTCAAACTGCCCAGCAGATCCGAGTAGGTTGAGACCGAGCACTGCCTGTACCTAGAATTTGCCCGTAACACAGAACTTACATACTAACCGCACGCAAGTACACATTTTTATGCCAATCAATAGTTTGGGGGGGGGGGGCTTTTTTTTTTAAAAGCCTTTTTGTGATTCTAGATGGATTGGAAAGGTGGCCGGTAAACGGGCGTGTCCAGATTAGGGACGTCCGGATCTGGGGAGTTTTGCTGTTATTGGCTTTCTTCTTTGCAATGTGGCTATTCCAGTTAGAGCTGTCTTTCAATGTTTTGGTTGAATAACCATTCAGGGTTTCTTCGCTACTGCCATTGCCACTGTCGCCAACACCGCTGTTGGTACTTCTGTCGTTGTCATACTCGACTGTAGGAGTAATATCACCCCCATGATTACTACTAACACTCTGCTGTACCTGGTGTCATTGTCTTATTGCTACTAATAGGTACCACGAAGGGAAACGATTGAACTTAGTACCGACATTCACTTCACGACTCGATCACATTTTTCCCCGGTTCACCTATAAGCAGAGTACTACTGGATCTCTGTTACTGGGACGTATACAACTGTCCATGCAGGGAAGATACGAATGTTTCTCCAAGACCACACAGCTACAACTATCAGCAAGTGCCTATGTGCATGTGCTCAGTCCAGGTATGTACCTTTCATATTAATTTTCTTTTTGTCTGGCTAGTGTGGGCATTGGTGATCACAAGTACATCGGGAGCTATAGTGCGTGAACGGGTGATCCTTATAGGGATGTCAGGCGCCCAAGAACAGGGTCTCTGCTACACGCTAGGTTTTCCCCCATTTGTGAGATTCCGGTGTCTTTGACCCTATTTTGTACTTCTGCATTCGCATGGTGACATGACAGTACAGGTGCAATGTCACTGATGTTCATAACTATATGCTTCACACCTGGCATGTTGAGACATCTGGTGACTTTCTAGCCACCTGGATGTTCTTGGGCGGGTGATGTTATGGTATTCTTTACTTTGCCTGTTGAACTGGTGATCTATTGAACTGGTGTTATAGTCCATAGAGTTGCACGTGTGTTGTCACTGTTACTGCAAGATGTAAGCTAGAACTCAAAGTAGTTGCTTTGGTTTTATCGTTATAATTATCTCCGCAATGTTTGTATGTTCTTGCTGTTCTGTTCTGTATGTGTGTGTGTGCGTGCGTGTGTGCGTGCGTGCGTGTGATCTTGTGCTGATGCGTGTGCATATATCTTCTTTAGTGCCGGTTGTAATTCTCCCCTTCAATGATACGACTGTGGTTTATCAAGGTGCCAACTACACACTGAAATGTCAGGTATGTCCTTAAGTGCACGTGTACGCATGCATACACACACAGATGCACATACTTATTGTTGTGCTCTTTGTGTTTGCTGCCTTGCTGCCTTGCTGGCTAATTGTGTATCATTGTCGTGTTCCTTGTTGTGTGTGTTGTCTTGCAGGCTACTGGTGTTCCCACTCCGACGGTAACATGGTCACGTAGCAATGGGGGAGCTGTAGAAGACAATGGCATCAAGTATACAGTTACGAATGACAGCTTGATGCTGCTCAATCCTACGCTCGCTGACACAGACACATACACTTGCAATGCCAGGAACAATATTTCTACAGCATCTGCATCCACAGTTGTCCGTGTGAAAGGTGAGAGGATGTTCTACACCTGTTAGGCTAAACCATACTGTTATGGTGTCAAGGGATATTGCTAGCATTACTTATTCTGTTTGTTGTGGGTGTTATGTGTGCTGCTGCTGCTGCTGCTGCTGCTTATGTCATTGTGGTTCGCTCTGTTGCTATTATTGCACTACTGTCTCTGTGATTGTAATGGTTCTCATGACTGTTACGCCGGGCTGTCATCGCTGTCATGGCTGGGATTATCTCATGTTTGCATTCAGGTCCACCACGTTTCTTCCGCACGCCTCCACTAGAGGGCATTGTCCTGGATGAGAATGAGGCTATCGTACTTACCTGTGGCATGGAGAACTTTACGGATACAGTCATCTACTGGCTGTATCCACGATCTGTCTATCAGCCTGAAAGCCGTGTTTTTGTCACCGAGAATGCCAAAGGTTAGTAAACAGAGTTCTTTGAGGACATTTTCACTTTTAAACTCTTGTTGTAAATCCCTTTGTGAGAGATACTCGGTTGTATACCAGATGCTTAGGGAATTGAAGGATCCTCCTTGTTCTCCAGTCTGATGGGCACTTTTGTTATTGTGTTACTAAAACGTGGTCCGTCCAAAGCTAGACCAGCCGGACCGGCTGTTACGCTCCTGCCCCTACCCAAGTCATTTCTGACACCGAGCAAGCAGGGAGAGAATGGATACGCAGATATTCATGTGTACCATGCCACCCAGACACTGGGGGCTTGCGGAAATGATTAAGGCCACGCCGTTTTTTTTCTATGTTTCGCGTTACCTTATTCGATGAAATCAATTCGGGAGGGCGAAAAAAATAAAAAAAGCCATCCAAAAAAAATAGTGTACGTGCATTGCATTTGTGTACAGTGAAGCGACGTGGCACTGTTCATGTGCATTGACATGTACATGAATACATAAGTGTATCCCCTCTGTCATGCTTGTGGTCCAAACACAGGCGGCATGATGATTGTGTGACTTACGGTCCAGCTTATTACACACACATGTACATGTACATGTGTGTGAGCTGAGTACAATCATGCGATAAATAGAACAAAATTAATATTTAATTGATGCCAACATAATAGTTACGTGTAACAATCAAGTTCCTTTTTTTTTCGTTTTGGGTTACATTTTCCGGTTTTCTGGGTTCGCATTAAATTTGTATTGCATTTTCCAAAACAAATTGTTCCTTTTTTAATTTTTTTAAAACTCCGGCTCTGAAATACATGCGCGCGGGTGACGCAGAACAAGGATAAAAAAAAACCGTGCGGCCTGACACAGGTTTTGAACAGTCTGACGTGCACAATGTAGCACCAGACTGACAAGGAGTACTGAGACATTTCAGGGCAAGGAAGTGGGCTTGAGCACTGCTCGATAGCGCTAACCAATGGCCTTCCAACTTGGAAAGTTCATGGATACTAGTGATAATTCCAAAGAGGGGAAATTAAGCAGTGCTCAAGCTCACTTCCTTGCCGTGGAATGTCTCAGTACTCCCCGGCCTTGTCAGTTTGGTGCTACCTTGTGCACGTCCGACTGTTCAAAACCTGGTTTAGTTGGTGGACTCTAACGCATTACTCGTGCCCCAACGTTTTCCTTGTTTCCGTTTAATATTTTCCTTGGCTCACCATCAGAGTACCTGTTCAATGGTTTGTTATTGTTTACATCAGGTCCAACATCAACTCTAACAATTCGCGGAGCTGTTAGCAGTGACAGTGGGTTGTACACATGCAGTGCAAGGAACAGCGCAGGACAAGTCGACTATCAAATTCCCGTCACTGTCAGATGTAAGATAGTGCTAAAAGATCAGTGCCACCATTAGATTTCAGCCGACCATTGAATGAGTTCTGATCACACTCTAGGCCAATGGGTCAGACGTTTGTGCATGGATCATTTCTCATATTTTAGGAAACAAAACCTGCATCCATGCTGAGTACAGAAAAGTGTGAGTATCAAACCAATGAAAATAGCATTTGCCTGCTGTACATTATGTGGTTATGTTCAAGCCCAAATCACCAGGATGTTCAGGTGCTCCGGCCAAATTGAATACTTGACCGGAACCGAACAGTACTTATGGGAAGCCTGCTTTTCACGAATTGGGTAGTCAACATTTTTTGAAATATGGTCCAGCCATGGCCAGACCAGCCAGATCAGGTGCTACGGCCTTGATGTTGAATGATGCCAAGTAAGCAATAGCGAAAAAGGGGAAGGGAGGAGGGGAGGAGGTGGAGGAGGGGGAGTATTACGCAGTGCATTACGCAGTGCAGTGCTATTTGGTCACTACTTTCCGATCTACTTTCATGGCGTGCGATAAAAATATACTTCATCCGCTATATCTTACTCTGGGTGACCAGAGCTACATGCTGCAGCTCTTTGACTACAAACATTGGAATGCCACACCTTTTTTGTATGCAATCCTGGTTTGGAAACAAGGAATGACTCTGTTCATAATGTCTTGAAAGTGCTTAAAACTTGAATAGGTCAAATGATTTCATTGGGTCAAGTTGCAAGTTTGTTCAGTCCTCCATTTTGTGCCCAATCCTTGCAAAAGTGAGCTGTATGTGCAGTCCCATCTGTGCTTCCATATAACACCAGCTCTGTTCTGTATATCATATCCGATATGTACTGATCTGTCCTATGCTATTATGTGTTGGCGTTGATGCTGCTGCTGTTGCTGCTGCACCTGCTGGTGTTGTTGTTGGTGCTGCTCCTGTTGTTGGTGTTGTTGGTGCCGCTGTTTGTGTTGGTGTTGTTGGTGCTGCTGCTGCTGCTGCTGCTGCTGTTGCTGTTGCTGTTGTTGGTGTACAGCTACTATGGTCATGGCCAATCAGACAGTGTCACTGGAGTGTGCTGATTACTATGTCTCAGCGGATCGCAGAGTGCTCTGGAGCGTTCTCAGAGCTGGTAGACGCTCAAACGTTGCCTTCAATGAACGCTACATTCAGAATGGCTCTCACCTGACTATCACTGATCTCCGGGTTGGAGATAGTGGACGGTATGGGTGTCTGATAACGGATATGTATGATACAGAAATATCCCATCGCGAGACCACACTTGTCGTACTAGGTAAGCGGATTGTTGATATGTGGCGCTTCTCATCCACTCAGCTTGTGACTTAACATGTACAAGTAGCAAGAAGGGTTCTAGAGCCAAAGGGATGTGGGCGTGTACATGCAGTATATACGCCTGCCATAATCCACCACACATGTACTGAATGAGTTTTTGATTTGCTCTCTTTAATCGTGATAGCTTAGAAAGCAGTGTTTGTACATGCCTATTCACTTGTCCAGGTCCACCTGTTCTGAAACCGTCACCAACCAGCCCTGAATCCGTTATCGTACCCACCAATACTTCCACATCTATTCTCTTAGATGTGACAATTCAAAGGTGAGTTGTAGTACCATGTTGCATGTACAGTAAAACTTGTAACTAAAGACCACCGTGACTAGCGACCAGCCTGATACTACAGACCACTTCGCCAGGCACGGACGGTCTCGCATTCATATAATCTTATGATTGTGCGTTGCAGACCCCTAGCTGAGGACCACCTGCTACTAAAGACCGCTTTCTCTGGCCCCAAGGGGTGGTCGTTAGTCACAGGTTTTACTGTGGTAGAGCTTGTCTCTTGTTTGTAACATACTTTCTTGCTATGTGACTACCAATTGTTACGTATCAATTTGTACTTGCTTCAAATGTGCAAGAGTTGCTTGCCAAGAAGCAACAGAAAACTTGGTACATGCCAGCTTGCATGTACAGCCGCCACATTATTATTACTCCGAAGTATTATCTTTATTCACTTCTTTCGAAGGCGATAAACCAGACCCACTGGGAAATATTTCCATGGGTGGGACAGCAAAAAGAAAGTGAAAAAAAATAAAATAAAAAGCCAAAAACCGAATTATTATTATTAAGCTTACGTGGAGATAATAATGTAATTAACGCAATGAATAGAGTAAGCTGCGCACTCAGTACAAACACCATTAGCAAAATTGTTTGTGAATTTAGATCAGTAGTTCTCGTTTGTGGTTGCATGGTTACTTTCTAGTGGTGAATTTATCTCATCTGTTGTCACCTGATATCGTTGATTGATGTAATGTTTCTTTCAGCTCTCATTTCTCGCGCTAGATAGGGTCTAAATTATTACTTGCATTGTGCGTATATATATTGAGTTTAGAACTAATGTTGATTTGCCAGTAATCCTCTGATGAGATGGCGACGAAAACGTTTAGGAACAAGCTTCTATATTTACATGAAAACAAGTTTTGCTAATGGTGTTTGTACTGAGTGCGCAGCTTACTCTATTCATTGCGTTAATTATTATTATTATAATTATTATTAAGAAAGGGTTTGCTCCCCGCACTGGAGCTCGCGCTATTCCGCCGACTTTACTTGACACTTGACTGACTCACGACTGCCATCCAGAGCACACGAGAAGTCCATCGAACCTTCGACTCGGCAAACCTGCAAGAAAGCACCACTCCCTGCTCAATACACAGTGTTTCGGGGAATTCACCCCTCATCAGTTGAGCTTGAGTAGGCTGAGGAAGATTGTGCCTGAAGAGCACCACTTATATAGTGCTCTCCAGGCACAAACATCACCAGGGATACAAACGTACAGAGACGACAGAAGCGACACTGACTCACGCTGCTATCTGGTGTTCACGAGGTGTTTGTCGCGCTGGAAATGAAGCGTCTCTGTACGTTTGTATCCCTGGTGATGTTTGTGCCTGGAGAGCACTATATAAGTGGTGCTCTTCAGGCACAATCTTCCTCAGCCTACTCAAGCTCAACTGATGAGGGGTGAATTCCCCGAAACACTGTGTATTGAGCAGGGAGTGGTGCTTTCTTGCAGGTTTGCCGAGTCGAAGGTTCGATGGACTTCTCGTGTGCTCTGGATGGCAGTCGTGAGTCAGTCAAGTGTCAAGTAAAGTCGGCGGAATAGCGCGAGCTCCAGTGCGGGGAGCAAACCCTTTCTTACAAATCATCGCCGAAGTCTACTACTTCGTATAATAATAATTATTATTTATTTCCCGTTTGTCTCTTTCCCTCAAACCAGTTAATATTATTTATTTATTTTTTATTTATTTTTTATAATTATTATTATTTATTCTTGTTTTACTAGGGAATTCCCAACAGGCGACGACGCCTTTTTACAGGGAATCCTGGTATTATTTTGATAGATGCGCGAAATTCAGCTGGTGACCTAGGCGTACGGCAAGCTGGTGGCAGTGCATTCTACCTATCAGCACCTAAGCGAGAAATTACACTGAAACCAAATCGGGTGTTATAAGGCACGTCACTCCCACCTGACTGCATCTATATCAGGGCCCAATCAATTATCATTATGCTGCCAGGCCATGGTTGTGGCAAATCGGATTTCAGGCTTTGGCCTCTGGTTGGTGAATCAAATCTGTCCCCCCTCCCCCCCCCCCTCCCACCCGAATCTGACGCTTGATCCTGGGGTGGTGGCGTCCCACAGAAGCGGAAAGGTGGTTCTTGACCCGCCCTGTACGCGAGCCCGTGTCCTCTTTTTTTTTTACCAGGCTGTCATACTTTTCGTGATAGGTACGTGTTAGGTGTGATGACAGTTACTGCACTAGTCGTTGACTGAAACAATCTATCTCGTTCATATGTGAAGCATGTAAGTGTGCAGTGATTATTGTTGAAGTCCGGGCTCAACGCTATCAGCCTGTTCAGTTGTCAAGCAAAGTGCTGCCTGTTATAAGGCTGTACAGTGCTAGCGTTGGTCAATATGTCACAGTAGGAAGGAGAGAGGAACGAGGAAGAAACGTGTTTCAATTCGGCGTACTGTTGTGCATGGTCATGCAGTGCAGTTTGATCCGACCTCCGTGTCTGTTGTGTTTGTGTACATGTAAATGCCCAGTTCAACCCCGATGACAGTGGTGTGGAGAAGAGATGGTGTAGTTGTGAACAATGCACACGCTAAGCAGCTTTCAAACTACTCCCTGATGATCTGTGGTGTGCGATCAGATGATTATGGTGCCTATACTGTCACAGCAACCAATGACTATGGATCAACAACTCTAGGTGAGCAGCATGGTGAAGTACTATACATGGTTCGGTGGATGTTTTTGTCTATGGAGGGGGGGGGGGGAGGAGGTGTGCATGGGTATGTGGTGTGTGTGTGTGTGTGTGTGTGTGTGTGTGTGTGTGTGTGTGTGTGTGTGTGTGTGTGTGTGTGTGTGTGTGTGTGTGTGTGTGCTGGTATGGGGGAGGGGGCATGTGCATGTGTTTGTATCGGGAGGGATGCTTGGGCTTGGAGGTTATCCTGAGTGTGCGCACGTGCGCACACATTCACGTGTGTGTGTGTATATATATATATATATATATATCTGTGTGTGTATGTGTGTGTGTGTGTGTGTGTGTGTGTGTGTGTGTGTGTGTGTGTGTGTGTGTGTGTGTGTGTGTGTGTGTGTGTGTGTGTGTGTGTGTGTGTGTGTGTGTGTGTGTGTGTGTGTGTGTGTGTGTGTGTGTGTGTGTGTGTGTGTGTGTGTGTGTGTGTGTGTGTGTGTGTGTGTGTGTGTGTGTGTGTGTGTGTGTGTGTGTGTGTGTGTGTGTGTGTGTGTGTGTGTGTGTGTGTGTGTGTGTGTGTGTGTGTGTGTGTGTGTGTGTGTGTGTGTGTGTGTGTGTGTGTGTGTGTGTGTGTGTGTGTGTGTGTGTGTGTGTGTGTGTGTGTGTGTGTGTGTGTGTGTGTGTGTGTGTGTGTGTGTGTGTGTGTGTGTGTGTGTGTGTGTGTGTGTGTGTGTGTGTGTGTGTGTGTGTGTGTGTGTGTGTGTGTGTGTGTGTGTGTGTGTGTGTGTGTGTGTGTGTGTGTGTGTGTGTGTGTGTGTGTGTGTGTGTGTGTGTGTGTGTGTGTGTGTGTGTGTGTGTGTGTGTGTGTGTGTGTGTGTGTGTGTGTGTGTGTGTGTGTGTGTGTGTGTGTGTGTGTGTGTGTGTGTGTGTGTGTGTGTGTGTGTGTGTGTGTGTGTGTGTGTGTGTGTGTGTGTGTGTGTGTGTGCCAATATGGGTGTTTCTCTGTGTGTCCGGGTGTGCTTGTTGCTTGCTTTTATTATTTGCTAGGTTTTTTTTGCGTGTGGTAGATTAAGTTAATGAGCCTGATCAGTGTTGTTACACTTTGAACTGCGCCCATTGCACCACTGATATTGACTGTACTGCCCAAATGCATAGTATGCTATCCACAATGTACTTTCAGGCCCGGCGGAACTGGTTTGGTTGGTCAGGCCTTGGCGGGACAAACATTGGCCGCCAACGTGTCTTTATTGCTGAGGAGGTCATGTGTATACCCAGTCCCTTAGTGGATTGGCGGATAGCCATGAAACTCCGAGCTACAGCTTAATTCACTCTAGGTCCATTGCTAACTTGTGCAGTCCCTCCATATGATACACAAAGTGTGAAAGGCAAGCTTATGTCCGCATCAATCAAAAGACTGCTTCTGGCCGGTCCTGACTTTTGACTCTATTTTTTGGATTTCCTTGCTTGCATCCCGCACAGATATTGCCAAGATTGCAGACCAGCAAGCACCGTCCACTGTTCCACACAGCGGTGTCACCAGTTCAGGTAGTGGTACTACCATTGCCATTGCAGTTGTGTGTGCACTCGTGGCACTGGCACTCATCGTTGTGCTGAGCGTGCTAGTGTACAGGCGCCGTCATAACCAGAAAAGCTTTGACGCGAAGGTTGGATACAGAAACGACCATGACGAGGACACACAAGCAGCAAACACCACTGCCCCTGTTGTCAGCGACGCACCAGACTCCACGTTTAGCAATCCGATGGCTGTTGAAGATAGAGATGGTGATTTGGTGTTGCTGATGTAGAGCTTGGCTCTATAATACTCCCTAGGAGCCAGCAGCTTGACAAGCATTGCGATTACTGCTGCTAGATTTAGAGCTGCTGGTTAGGCTTGCCTTGAGCGGATTACACTGTTTACCCAATCACACAGTTCACTACACTCAAAGTACATGATGTGCTTGGTGTTTCCATTGGTCATACCGGCAAACATTGCACTTCACTGCCGCTTTCCCAGTTCTTCTTTGATTGCATGCGCTAGCACTGGTTTCAGTATTCACTGCTATCACTTTGAAGTATTTTCTACGGCCACTGGATACTTGGGTGCACTTCACAGGGAGGTTTCTTGCAATCTGTCATCCTCCCAATGCCTATACGTTTTCTGCGGTATTATCGCTTGCTTTTTTCCGTCTCTGGCATTCTCTCATCTGTTTTGTGTTACTTACTGCGCATACATGTACATGGTGGGTATGGGGATGTGATGTAACTATCGTTACATTTTCTGATTTGAACATTACACCTTGTGCACGTGCACCTTGCTGCTCAGTGAAATCTAGTTGTGTCACTCAAGTATGCGCCGGGCGTTGCGCAGCCCTAACTAGACCTGCCAACACTGGGCGTCGGGATGGTGCAAGGCGAGAACGTGAGTGACGCGCCTGGATTTCTTTGAGCAGCACTGTGCGTGGCCAGCACAGTTTCTGTGTTTTCCTTGTTAATATGCCGTTCACCGTTGCTTATACTTCAGACAAGACCGGCTCGACAGAGTTGTATGTGTGCCTGTGTGTGTGTGTGTGTGTGTGTGTGTGTGTGTGTGTGTGTGTGTGTGTGTGCATGTGCCTGTGTGCGTGCGTGTGTGTGTGTGTGTGTGTGTGTGTGTGTGTGTGTGTGTGTCCCATATGGTGCAGTGGTATGTGCAGTCGATTTCCAATCGAGAGGTTGCGGGTTCAATTCCCGACGATTATGGTCGCACACGTCTTTCTTCTCTTTCTCGGACTCTTCCTGGCTTTTCTTTCATTCTTCTGGGTGGTTACCAACAGCCAGTGTATGCCGGAGTATGTGGTGTGGTGTGTGTGTAGTAAAAAAATGGAAAAACGAAAAATAGGGATTCACTGACCAGAAAAAGTCACTTCAAACAGCTGTGTGGTGGATACCAGGCTAAAAATAGTGGCGGTCAATTCATCAGCCTTGCAAGCTGTTCAATGGTGTAATCCACGCACAAGTTGCTATGTCTAACATAGCTGTTCGCTATCATCGCTTCCGCGATGGGCATGTAAATCTCCATGGTGTAGATGAGGAAAAGGAGCAAGTGAAAGCTCTTGAGCATGCCTGAAGCCTGTGGTTGTGTAAATTGCAGTACGTGATTGTCCTTCAATCGCTGCCGAAACGGGGAAGTCAAGATCAGTAACTGTCATTCCCTTGATGTATAATGAACTTCTCCCTTGGACCAACACCAGCCATAGCCTCGTTCTCTGGCATGACCGTTAGTGTTTCGATACACTGAAAGTGCGAGGATGCCCTGTGATTCTGTGAAAGCAATCAGCAGTATTTTAATAATCCAGCCTACAAGGAGAAAACTTCCTTCTGCCAGCGGAGAGGGCTCAACACAATAATGTGGAAATCTGAAGGATCACCGTCACACCCTGGCTGCTGTTTACAAATTCACATCTTCCATTTTTATATTCACTGCGTAGCAATCCATACTTTCTGCGCTAATAGCTCCCTCACCCAAGTGACCATCCACACGGCCATCATGGCAATATTGTCTGTGCTGAATCAAGTAGCCATCACCGAACTATGCTTTATATTGGCCAAGTCCCACTGAACATGTCATAAGTCGCCTGATGATTGCACTGGGCAAGAAACGCTGAGTTGCGACAAATCTGTAAACCTCCGTTGTGCCTTTCATCAATAAACCAGCCTATGTAGATCTGCGCTCTGTCTTTTTGTTTTGTAGTTCGTCACTCTTTGACTTTTCGAGGAGTTTGGTTTTTCTGAGGAGGTGGCCTTATTGGCCTCTTCAGAAAAACGAAGCTCCTCGAGACTCCACAACCTCATGATCATCCGATGGGAGAGGTGGATTAGTTTCGAAGAGTTTGGAATAGCTACGTCAAGTAGTACGTGGAGATGGTCGATCTGATCGGCCGTCATCATCGCCATGACAATTCCACTGAAAAACGTCTGATAATTCGAACCGCGAACCGGACATGTCCGGTTAATTAGAAGTCCCACAGTCCACAGATTCCACTTATATAGAAAATGTGTGGGATTTGTGCTGATAATTCGAAGTCAGTACAGTGTAATTCTAAGTTCAATGTACACTGTACTACATTGTAGTCAGTTCTGTTTGCATGAGCTGAGCAGGCTGTGCCGGTCAGTTCAGTATCCGTGAAATCTGTTTCTAAGGTCCATAGCGCAACTCTGCATGACCACGGGAGCATTTTGACATACATATTGTGTTGTGGGTTCATGTTTGGTTAAGTAGAATGTCCGGATAATTAGAAGTTTTTTCCTGGCATTTTGAGGTTCGAATTATCAGGATTCCACCTGTAATGATAGAAACCCCGTTCTAATGGGACACTTCAACTAATCTCCTTTAAAAATTTGCTCGAACAGCTCATGAAAACAATTCGAACTTAGTCTTAGAAAGTCTCAGCCCCATTCAAATTTTTCTGCCAGGGACTGCACTGCACGGGGTCTTGGCTTCATGAAATTATTGTCTTTTGCGAAAGGTAAGCAAGTGGGTCGAGTGTGTGTGTTCGCATAAAGTACAGTGGCGAAAGGGGGTTGTGGTTGTTGTTGTTGTTGTTGAAGTCCTGGTAAAAACACGCCAGGGGAAGTGGCGTTTAAAAAAATACGCACCTGCCCACAAAGCGCTCTCTAGGCTGCCAAGTTCTGGCAAAGAGCGCATACATCGACCAGGGGCACCACGCGGAAACTGATGATGATGGTGGCAGAATGAGCACTCTTTACCACAACTTGCTGTCTTAGCAACTAGAGAGCGTTTTGTGGACAGGTGTGTGTTTACCACCACGAGGTTCGCGGCGATGTGTGTTTTAGGGACCAAATCTGTACTTTTTAGAGTGCTGCATTGGAGTCATCACACATCACAACAGTCAGCTCACAGAAAAGGGCTCCGTATTTTGTATGGAGATGCATGCACATAATCAGTGTCTTGGTAGCTAACACGGTACGTAACAGCGGAGCGAGACATAATGCAGGATGGCGGTTAGTTGTGTAGTGACTCCAGGAACAAATTTAACTAGCTGACCATGACTAACGATGATGAACGAAATGCATCACGATTCACGGGCCTCCCAAACAGATGCGTTCATCATGTTGATGACCACGTCACAGGTGAAGGAGTCATCGAGGAAGTAACGCTCAAACTTCATGATGCTTTGACGCTCAACGACCTACAAAACTAGAGACTAACAGAGCTAGTCACGGATCTCTCCGTGGTGCAGGCAGTGTTAAGTGCTGGTACGGTGGCAGTGTACATGACTATAGATCTATTCAGTGCTGGTTCAGCCGCTGCTCCTAACGCCAGCTGGTCGCCCACAGCTCCGGGCCGGGTGCTGCAGTGTAAACAAAAGGGACTTAGCCTTCGCGGAACCGAGAAGTCCTGAAGGCAGCAACAGACAGGACAGGGTATCACCGAAGACTTTCTTTTGATTGACTTACCAGTGTTGGGCAAAACCGTACGAACTCTGAAAGGCTTTAAAAGCAGAATCGTCGGCTGGCGTCGATACTCCGCGTATCGCTACCCTCTCCTGCAGCGTATACGGGTGCAAAAGGCCGGATAGTGAAATGATGATGGCGCACCTGCGAATCCAGTGGCCACTAAAGGTTACCATGTTGCCGCTGTTGTTGGTGGTTGTGTTGCTGCAAATACCTCAATGGTCCGGTGCTGCGGAAGTCGAGATTCTCAAGAGATCACAAGCAACAAGTCCAGTGCAAGGTGAGTTCCCCGGTTCTAGCATACGGGCTGATGACATAGACTGCTGATGACATAGATAAGACTGTCCTGACTAAAATAATCAAAATACAAATACAGATACCTACATGTATCCCCACCCCCTCTCCCCTTCCCTCCCCCCCCCCCCCCCCCTCTCCCCTTCCCTCCCCGATTCAAGTGGCGTTGGGCTCAGTAGTTAAGACCTCGATTTAATTAACGTAGCATTGGGTGACTCGGATGAAGAGCCAAGGAACAAGTTACGTTACACTGTCCTCTGACACCACCAGTAACTGGACAATCAGCTCATGCGATAACATGATAACGTACTCATTGCACGACACTGACCAACGGTACTGACGTTCTACAACTAAAAATGCCAATCAGCGCATCCATGCGCATCCAAGATGTGCTAGAGCAGATTGGCAGTTAGTTGTAGTGCGTCAGTACTGTTGATCAGTGTAGTGCAATATTATCGCATGAGCTGATTGTCTAGTGACTGGAGTGGTGGTGTTAGTGGACAATAGCGTAACTTATTCCACGCGCGCACGCCCGCACACAGACACACATACACGTACACACACACGTACACGTACACACACACACACACACACACACACCACACACACAGAGTGACACACACCATAATGGTCCATGTACCATGTACAATCACCTGAATCACGAGAATCAGTCTTATTATTAGGTGGGGCGGGCTCCACGCCATGCCTGCCAGTCTGAGGCCATTTTGCGGACTGCGTCAGCATCTAGCGGCTGGTGGAAGGAAAGTCCATGCCATCATGCGTCTGCAACACCGTTATCAAAGCTGTCCGAGGTCGACCCCAACACTCTGCTATTTTATACGTGGGAAAATTCATTTTTTCACCCTTTGCTACCACGGAACTAGTAGTTACGCTATACTATCCACTGACACCACACGGAACTAGTAGTTACGCTATACTATCCACTGACACCACCTTTAACTGGACAGTCAGCTCATGCGATAACATAATCATTGCACGACACTGACCAACGGTACTGACGTTCTACAACTAACTGACAATCAGCGCACCCATGCGCATCCAAGACGTGCTAGAGCTGATAGGCAGTTAGTTGTAGAACGATCTGATTGTCGAGTAACTGGTGGTGTTAGTGGACAGTATAGCGTAACTTGTAGTTCCTTGGTAGCAAAGGGTGAATATGAATTTACCCACGTAAATAGCAGAGTGTTGGGGTCCACCTCGGACAGCTTTGGTAACGGTCTTGCTGACGGAATTGCCATCATGCCATGGACGTTCCTTCCACCAGCCGCTGGATGCTGACGCAGTCCGCAAAATGGCTTCGGACCAACAGGCATGGCGTGAAGCCCGCCTCACCTAACAGGAATGATTCTCGTGATTCAGGTGATTATGGTGCGTGTGTGTGTGTGTGTGTGTGTGTGTGTGTGTCTGTTGTGGAGAGTGATGGACCAGTTCGAGCGGCCGCCGTGAGAGGAATCGTTTCCGACGATAAGAAAATCTTTCAAATAGTTGAACATCTTGACAATGTGTGTGTTCTCTGCTCTGGTGGAGGACGGTTGTACTTTTCCGGGCTCTTGTTTCTGGCCTCCGTCCGTGCTTGTTCTCGCCGTTGTGGACGGCCTGGGGTGTCCCCAGCCGTCCAGGCCAACAGTGCCTGAGGTGGGGTATTCACCGACAGGAGACTTGGTCGGATAGTTACGATGCCGACACTCTCCTCGTCGCCCCCACCTCGGAGTCCTTCGCGAGGCTTTGCAAGCCCGCGAGTGGAGCAAACTACCGCACGAAGACGACGACTTGGAACGACTCTAAGCTTTGGCTCATGGAATGTTCGCTCTGTTGTGGAGAGTGATGGACCAGTTCTAGCGGCAGCCGTGAGAGGAATCGTTTCCGATGATAAGCCAGATCCATAGCTGCTGGAGATGGCTCTCTCGAACATGGTCCCGCTCGTCGTTCTATATTGTCGGCCCCGTAAGGGGACACGTGACCGTAATGGCAGTGTTTACCAGGACCAGGTGTGTGTGTGTGTGTGAGTGTGTGTGTGTGTACTGATGTGTCTGTGACTGTGTGCGTGCATGTGAGTGTACAATGCACTTCCGATGTGTATCTGTGCTTCCTGTGTGTCGCACCACAATGAAAACTTCCCTGAACTGCATCTGCTGGCGTGGAACGAGGCTGACACCTTCTTTGGCCTTGCGGCGTTGTGGTCATATCCGTGTACATGATTGCATTGTACACTGCAACAACACGAAGCCCAGTAGACTTGTCTTCTTTGTACAAAATGTAACAAATGATTGTCTTCACATGTATTGATAGAAAGTACAATCATAGCACTACAGTAGTGATCTAGAATCTTTGGAGAACACAGTCTACATGGTGTAGGACCTAGACTTTAGGGTCTGGCAAGTATGTACCATGCTATCATAGGGACATGGTGGAGGAGGGACTGGGTGCCCCCTCCCCGTTGGTATTTTTTAAATTATTATTCAATGTGTTGGTTTGTTGGGTTGTTGCGCTATTGACTATGGTAACTAAGATCAGCATGCTCGCTACTAGTGTTCCCTATCTGGCTACCTGCATACCTGCATACCTCAGACTCAGACTCAGACTCAGACATGCCCATCGCGGAAGCGATGATAGCAAACAAGCTATGTTAGACATAGCAACTTGCGCTGGGATTACCATGATTACACCATCCAACAGCTTGTAAGGCTGATAAATTGACCATCACTAATTTTAGCCTGGTATCCACCACACAGCTGATTGAAGTGGCTTTTTTCTGGCCAGTGAATCCGTATTTTTCATTTTTCATTTTTCCATTTTTTTCATTCTTTTTTTCTCTTCTTTTTCGACACTCACACACATCACACCACATTCTCCGGCATACACTGGCTGTTGGTAACCACACAGGAGAATGAAAGAAGCGCTAGGAGAATGAGAAAGAGAAGAAAGACGTGTGCGACCATAATCGTCGGGCAACCTCTCGATTGGAAATCGACTGCACATACCATTGCACCATATGGGACACACTTGCATACCTGGTGAACACATCACGCACGCGTAATATTACCGTATGCATGTTGCATGACACAGTCAGACATTAGTGTTCTTCCAAAACATCGCACGTCTCTAACGCTAGTCCCTACTCTAAAAAAAACTGTGACACCACTACACAAACGGGACTCTCACTATATCAGTACGTGGCTGTAGCCGTGTAGGACTCGATTCCTATGTGGTCATGTACATGAAGATTTGCATGATTAGTCGTGTATACAAACAGAAGAACGAGCAGTGAAAATCTGAGTTACGAATAAAACAACTGCTCTTTCTTCTGTTTTTGTATTCCGCTCTTTGCTTTGGGCAAATTGAGCCCTCTACGGACAGTGGATGAACTTCACCTGGTGATTATTCGTATATCTAATTACTACCCCAAACCCTTTACACTGTCTTAGAAAGAACACGAAACTGGAGTAGGAAAAGGTGCACAGCAAAGCAAAGTAGAAAAGAATTTCTAAAGCAGCAATAAACAAGGAAACAACCAATTGCAATTCCAAATAATTATGAGCCCTCAAAATAAGTATCGGGGAGAAGAGGGGACATTCGTGATGAAGTATTATTGGTTGAACTACAAACATAAAAGAAAGAAAAAGGAAAGAAAAATTTGCTGTAGCTATGTACTACTACAATCAATGTGCGGACAGAACTTTTTCGTCCTTTGTGGACTCATCAGCGCAGCGCAGAGAAAATGAAGCCGAACCTGATAAGTGATATTAGCAATGAAAAATAAATTTTCCAAAGCCAGATTTATACCAGGCCCGAACGTGTACCTTATCCTTGCCAGAGTGCTCAAACTGACAAGTCAGTGAGCTCTGCATGACGCAAACAGAAAGGCACTACCCCACACGAGAGTACTCAACTGCTACAAGAGCAGGAGCGAACTACTCAATCTACAAAAGACTGCATGCAGTCTACAATCACGTAGATTCTACATTGTACAGTGCTAGCACTGTAGGAGACCTACGTAGCTACGAAGCTATTTTTCAGCAAGTCTACAGTCATCATGGTCATGTATGGAACTTTTATGTGACGCCGGGCCTCGAGACGACAAAAAGTCGGGGAATCAGGGAATCAGCTGGATTTCCGTGTAACGGGTCGTTGATCCATGAACCATGTGAACCCTGGCCTGGGCTCTGAAGCAGGGAGTCATAGACCCGACTCCCGGTCCCTGCTCTGAAGCATTTTAAATTTTTATGGTGAATGCCGCACGATGGATCGGCGTTTCGACAGGAAGTTGTGTTCATGTCGACGGGCAGCTGATCCCGCTCGAACTTCTACACTACAGTTGCCTTTGCTGTTAGTGGTATCGGTGCGTCTATGATTATTATAAAAATCTTCACGCTCGTCAGCTGTACCGCTCGTCTAACGGGCGCGCCTGCCATGAAACGCTATGGCTATAGTAGGGTCTGAGAATGGCAGGGAGATGTCGGACACCTAGTACCTTGCCGTCAACTGCCAGCGAGGACAAGCGTGCAAGCATGACTAGCATAGTCATGTACAATGTCATTGCAAATTTTGTCAGCAACGTGACTGAGGACATCGTTTCATAGCCTAAGCGGTGAGATGTTAGTCAAGAGGACATATTTTAGAGATTTTTTAGAAAGGTTGAGCTAACGTACTGGAGTCTTCCTATTTATTTTCAGGGCAGACGCGCGATCGATGCCAACCGGTATTCCTGAGTGTGGCATGTTTAAAGGGGCGAAATGGTGCCAGGATGGCGTAAATAAGAATTTTGCAGATTGATATCAACGCGTGCATACTCCCATCTATCCCTACATCCCTATTCATCACCAGAATTGATGATGAACTAGCAACATGTTCAGCCTCAGTACACAACAATACCACTTCGGGTGTTGCAGTTTGTCTGGTGAGCGAGGAAAAAGTGATTTTGCTGAAGATTTCTATCTTACCAAAGGGCTATGTGGATTTGGAGCCACACCGCTGTAGCAAGCAAATAGAGCAGTGGAGTTTATCTGTCCCTGCAAATGCATATTTCGAAGTCCCCCCCCCCAACCTTCCACCACACACACACTAGAAAGGCCGCCAAAGAAATGCTTATGCACCTAGCTCATATCGTACTTTGCAAGGCTCGTAAAATACTGGGGAACGTGAAAGTAAGAATACGCTATGTAGTAAGGGTAAGGGTGAGGGTAAGGTTAAGGGGTGGAACTGTCTGAGTAATTGAGAACATCTCCTCAAACCTTCACTGAATGCCGTACATGCACCTCCAGATCCGAAAAGGTGGTTAAGAGTCCAGTATTTGCTTTCCTTCCTTCGCCCATTCTCCTTGGTGCACTCTCCTTTGATCTGTTTCTGACTCACCTTCTCTCCCTTTTTTCCTTTTGTATGTTCTGCATACGCAGATTGGGTGGAATGGAGAGACAGTGCACATTCTCGGAAGAGACGCCAAGCTCTTAGCGGTACTGCTGACACAGTAGCCACGACTGCTCAGAATGACCAATGCTCGAAGATTGTCTACCGCGATACTAACACTTGGGTGGCGAGTTGCCCTGTTGGTAGTTATGGCACGGAAGCATACGGTGAGTGCCGTGCTTGCTCAGAGGAGTGTGCTAGCTGCTCAGATCGTACAGTGTGTACATCGTGTAAAAGCAATCTGCTCCTACAAGGTAATGCATGCCAGGACAAGTGCTCTAATGGATACGTTCTGCTACAACGCAACGTAGGTTCCAGTCTGAGTGTTCGACTTGTCGACAGTGCTACGTTCAACATGGCTACACTGTCAGCTCAGCAAGGACGACTGGAAGTCCGAGATGAGAATGGAAATTGGGGAACTGTCTGCAACAAGAGCTTTACTTTGACATCTGCTAATGTGGTGTGCCAACAGCTAGGTCTTGGCATGGCTTCAGCGCTCACAAGCGGACGGTACGCAATAGCAAAACGTGATATGCCAATCAATCTGGGCCATGTC